CCGATTGAAGTTGGTCGGTGGTCCCCATCCACCCGTCGAACTGCAATCCGGAAATATGTCACAAGGCAGCGGTCTAGGCAGGCCTGTGTGTATGATACAACACCAATTGCCTTCCCAGGAGCCTCCGCCTCTCTCGCCGATCAGCGAGACGCCTCCACCGACCGGAATTCGATCGAGAGCCAGCAGTTCCGGTACCAATACCAGGTCCGTTTCAGCTGCGGTTTCCGACGAAAGTGTTGCCGGTGATTCGGGTGTGTTCGAAGCCTCTAATCGTAGGAAAGTACTTGGAGTGATCGGAGACGTGGATTCGTTGGCACTCGGGGAGATGAGTCTGGAGACGGCGCAGGTGCAAATTAAGCTTAGGTTGGTTTCATTTTCTTTTTTTCTTTTTACGAACTAGACTAGGCAGTGGCAGTGAGTGGTAGTTTAGTGGTTTCAATGTAATCGGATTAATTATTTCTTTAGATACTCTGTAAGTGATGGTCTACTTCACGTTGGAATTGAACGTGCGAGGAATCTAGCTGCCCTTTTTATTCCTAACAACGCGCAAGTGTGAGTATTCAATGAGATTAAGTATCTTTAAATTGAGAAGAATCAAAATGACAGTTGTCTATCCGTCTATGTTTAGGTACATTAAGGCTGCATTGCTTCCGATGCAGCCTCCCGTTAATCACATGTGTTGTACGAAACCTGTTGTGGATTTGCGCAAACCAACTTTCGGTGAAACCTTCCCGATCGCGGTACCACTGAACAAGCTATACACGAAGACACTGCAGGTTAACGTTTGGTGCACGGGCAATGAGTCTGAGGAGTGCTTGGTACGTGCCTAGTTGCCCAATTTGTTGTAAAATTACTAGATACCATTGGAAACGGATCTCAAGTATTTTCCAGAATCACTATCTTCATCCTGTTATTAAACTTCTGTTTCAGGGATCCGCCCAAGTATCGCTTGCAGACTTCAGTCCAGAATTGCCAAGCGTAAAATGGTACAACATACTCTCCTTTCGCTTCATGCAGCCATCCGATAGCCCTAGCACTAGCACAAGTAACAGCAACAGCAACAGCATCTCCACCAGCGTAGCGAGACAGTCTAAGCACGACAAACAAGAGTCGGATATATCGGTGTATCGTGGTGGACAGAACGCCAAGGAGGAGAGCAGCGACGAGAGCACGATAATCAGCTCTCAGACGTCCACCTTGACCAGGAATCAAGGCTGCGACGAATTGCAAACGGCCATCTCGTTGAGGCTCGAGGAGTTAGCTAATTGCTTGGGCAGCCCGGAAGAAGAGGATGAGAATGGCGGCAGTGAAAGTGGAAGCGAGGACAGTGACGAAGAGGGCATCATCGTGGAATTTGTGATGGAGGACAATGTTTTGGAGGATGTCTTGGAACACGAGGTAAATAAATATGACAAGCTTTACAGTTCATCGTGATCAAGTAATTTATTATTCATATTATTATAATCCTTTGAACAAATTGTAAATTACAGGAGGATGAAGAGCTAAACGAGGAAGCAAGGCAAACTCAAGACAAGGAAACGAACACCGAATGTATTTTTATACCAGAACAGGGAAAACAGAGGAAACTTTCCGCGGCCGGAGTTGTTTCTAATACCCTGCACGACGATAAAAATTCAATCGTAATCAAAAGAAGTCAAACATTTTCGCCCAGTGCTGCGGTTAGCAAAAATCACTATATTTGTCGGGTAAATATCGGACCTATTGAAAACGATCCATCGCTCTGATTTCGTTTAATCATATCTTCGATGTCATTGGTTTCTGTTACAGTTGAATCGAAGCGACAGCGACAGTAGCATGCCGCTTTATCGCAGAGGTGGTCCATTCCAACGAAATTCAGTGGAGAGACGATCCCTTCGATGGCGAAGACCCTCGTCTGCTCTGAGCTGCAAAACCGCTTCGAAGAAATCCACCAATTTGCCACCTACCGCTAGAACCTCGCTAGATCTTGAACTGGATCTTCAAGCGCAACACGCCAGATTAAATAATCTTCAGGACGAGCTAAGCAGATTGCGCGAATTAAAGCAAAGGTTAGAGCAAGCTAGAGAGAAAGGAGATACCGACTTTGCTACCTGGTTGTTGGAGGACCACAAGTTCCAGAACCTTATGGCGCAAGCTGAAAGCGGGAAGAACGGTAAAAGTGCCGAGGATAAGCGAGTGGAAAAGATGCTAAAGAAAACATCGAAAGAGATTTACAAACTAAGAAAAACAAAGGCTGGCAAAGGAAAACCCGATATTATTTCTTTCAAGTACGTATAATTCGACTTAAATACAGGTCGGTCAGGTTAGAAAAAAAAAAAGAAAATTATTTCTATAAATGAAAATTGATTTCTTGTTACAGAGAAAAGATGGCTTTCTTCACGCGCTTTAATCTCAATGTTCCTGTACTTCCGCCTGAAGATTCGCCATGCGAGATCGCGTTATCACCATCCCCGTCGTCCGCTCAACACAAAAGACACGCCTCGGAACCAGTTACCACTGAATCCATGGTTAGTAAACTTGGTGCTCAATGTGCATTGAATTCGGCTACACGGTCAAACAGTGTTCCTAGCGGAAATGCGTCTGCGGTGAGAAGTGACGGTGCCGCGACCACTAACGCGAGTACGACTACAAACATAGCCGAAGACGTTCCGACGAACAGTACAAATAAATCTGTGAACGCAAAAGGTCGACCTAACGAGGGGAACGGGCACTGTCAGGAGAACGGTCAAGGTGAGAACCTGAAGACATCCGAAGAAACTGACGGTGAAGAGCCACGAAGATACGAGTACGTGGTAGACAGAGTTCTCGGTGTCGAAGTGTAACGTTCGCACATTAGGTGTCTTTTCTTTTCTTTTTTTTTTTTTTTTTTTATTTGGTTTTTAACAGATGGACCTTTCGGTCCATTCGAATTACTCGTTAATTAACGTACTACGACTTACCATAAATAATTTAAATCAGCAAAGGAATGGAAAGAAGAAGAAGGGAAATGTTATTTCCTCGCTTTTATCGAATTCAAGGTGCCATGCACAATATGAAGATGGATTTTTAAAAAAAGGACTGTTTACCGAAATACATTTTAACGTTTCATATAACGGTGAATATGTAATGTTAGTGTAACTAGTACAACGAATTTAACGAAGTGTTGCCGATATTGTTATTGTTATTGGTTATCGACGTGACGACGCGATGCCGTGAAAATTCTAGGAAGATTTTGAGGCGATAGCGAAAAATGCGCGATCCAAGCGCTCTGTACATACGAGAACGTAAATTATTTAAATGAGATTTATGCGAGAATTATTTAATTAATCGAATTTCATCAGGTTCCTCTATACCATACCGGTTCATTCAGCGTAAACTCGCTTCCCTTGCGTTTTCGAGCTCTCACACACACACACACACACACAACCCCACCGAGCAGCTGGACTGCAATTTGAAAATCCAACAGAGAAAAGAAGGTAAAGGGGAAAGAGGAAAAGATTGTCGCCCTGGTTGGCTGAATTTTCCCTCACAATTAGCTTTGAATATTTGTACGCTTCTCGTTCTTCGTCTATTAAGCCTTAGAATTAATAATAATAAGAAACAATGAAATTGAAAGGATACCACGAAAAAATGAAGTTTTAATATTTTGAATATCATTTTATACAATAATCGAGGAACCTGGTAGGAATTGGATATTTTCTGGGGGACTAGTAAAAATCTTGGAAACAGCAGGAGTGTAAATAACTTTGTATATACGCATCCGACAATCATGTTTAAGCGTTGCAAAATTTCAACGTGCAGATGCGATTTAATATACATTTAACTATGTATGTTAAACGTATGCGTGCACGTCTACGTATTGGACGTTGGTATGCTTGTGTCCACATAATGTATGTATGTATCTATATAAATATATATATAGACAGTGAAATTACGCGGTAAATTTGTGTATCAGCCGCGAGGATACATTTTCATGGTAAAAAAAAAGGTACGTGTACAAGGTTTGTGCAACGTATTCTTACTGATAGTATGAAATGTTCGAAACCACGTGTAGTAGGGTTACATCGACACAAAGTGTATTGAACCTATTACGCGTATGTATGTATTTAATTAACGCGTTATTATTAATGTATTATATACCAGTGTGACGTTGTGTCTAACTGCGTCGAAGCAAGTGTAACGATGATGGTGTTGATTAGCGACGATGATAGGGAAATATTAATAACAATAGAAACATTAAAAGGAAAAGAAAGAGCAATGATAACGATGCTAATAAAAGGGTATCGAGACGGTATGGAGACGACAATGTTGACAATGATGGCAATGATTAAAACGACGACAGTGAATGTAATAGAACATGAAATATGAATCATCGTACTGATATCGATAAGAATAGTAATAACAGTAATAATAAGTTCGTAATGAAATATACACATACATAAACACGTACATCCTCCGAAAAAAAACAACCACAGTATGACTTGTAAGTAATGATAATGATTAAATGGTAGTGATTCGTATGATAACGATTAAAAGAAAAAAATACAGTATATTCTTGCCATATTATTTTGTATCGTGAATTTTGTTTCTCAGATTTTTAATGATTAATATACTTCTTTTGATCCCTGAACCGCTTTTTAATGTGATTAACTAAGCAATGGTATAATAAAAGAATTCTTAACAAGTGGTCCGTGTGATGTGGTAAGCTGCTACGCTTTTTAAATTGATAAATAGTTATTTCGTTTGATAAAAAAGCAAAGTATACTGTGCGTATGCGCGGGGAAACGCGCCTGCGCCATAAATCAATGTTGTACAACCGTGCATGTAGCGCAGAGATATGCAAGGGGGCCTCGAGGTTCCCCTACTTTATACATTTTCCCCTCGAATAGATTGTGACAGACGAAGATAGACTCTGTTCTGTACCTTGTTTATCGTTAAACTATTCGAGGGGAAACGAGAGAAAGTGGGAGAAGTCCATAGCTCCCCTGGACATCTCTGATGTAGCGTAGTAGAAACGTGAACAGCGTATTCTTAGTAGAGCGGAGCGCATCCGGCGCGATGCTGGTGTGCGGTGTTTTCCGTACTGTGTTATCGGTTTCTTTCGGCGCAATCGTACAAATCCTAATATTTCTACAAGAAAATTCAAACATCCTGAGAGTACAAGCTTCCCTTCCACCGGGAGCTGGTCAGTTTCCCATTTCTTTTTCTTTTTTTTTTTTTAAATTCTAACTTTTGTCGCTTGGTACATTTTGTACCGGCAAGGAAAGGATTTGTAAGACGAAACAGACTGATTAAAATAATTATGTTAGCTAATTAGCGATACACTTAAATCTGCGTATGCCTGTTTCTTTTCCTTTTACTTTCTCATTCGTTTCTTCACTTTTGCCTTTGTATCGTTTCCAACACGACGTACTGCTAATTATTTTTAAATCATTCACACGTCGGAACGATTTGAGATATTAACAAAAAAAAAAAAAAATAGGGATGTAACTGGGAAATATTTAATCTAGTCAGACGTATCGATTCCGATTCATTCGCCCTACCATTGGCGCGCACCTTTCGAAACAGATTCATCAAGGTATATATGTATATGTACACCTATATCGCAATGTGCTTTGTGGCGAGGTTGAACAGCTTCCTACGTCATAGGAATCAAAGTTCCGTGACCGTGTGTATTAGAGTATCGCACGAAGTTTCGTGTCGGGCTACTCGAAACGGTGTCGCCGAGGAAACTAGGTGGCAGAAATCTAGAAGACAGCTTAAGTAATTCAGCGGTCAGCTGCTGGTGTGCGTCGAGTAAATCGATATTATTATCGCCGGCACGCTTCTTCGTACGTAAGTACGTACGTATACGTACAGGTACACGTCGGGTTTTATGTAAGTACTATACCATTTGCTGACACGCCGAGGATTTCGTACCGGTCCCGGTCACACGCCGCCTTTCAACCCTTCCATGCAACCGGAACTATCTGTTGGATACGAATGATATTGAACTTGAATAGCGTAGCTGCGTGCACCGAAGTTGCATCAACTTATCTTGTAAACTTTGTAAAAGAATATAATAATGCAAAGGGAAATTTGTTAGGGAAACTTAGTACATCCCTTTCGTGACGATAGATTGACAATATCGTGCGATCGAGCTGTTAGCAAGAAACTTCCGTGTTCTCGATAACAGGTGAGAGTTTACCTACACAATCAGCAATAATTCGTAACGGGTGGAGATTTCAAGGGGCTTGAAAAGACAAAGAGTGTAGCGGAATCGAAGGTAAAGTCCGCGTGCTTGAATCAGAATCAATTTACATTATTTTCACCATAGGAACTTGCCACCCTATCGATTTAACACTACCACCACCGACTAAATATACCCAAGGTGTGCATCAGCGAGTCTTTACATAAACGTGTGAAAAGTTTCAGGCGGTCGACGATCCATTGGTATCGATCTCAATTTTCAGATAATTAATATTGCGATCAATAGCGACATCGAATTAGCGTATAGTCTGATCAGAAAATTGCAGACGGCATTGAGCACGCGGAACTTGGATGATACTTCCGGAGCGGAAACCGCAAACGGACCATAAAATCAGGTCGTCCTTACAAAACAAAACAATACGTTCAGAAGTACATACGAAAACCTGCGTGAAATAGTTTATTGACTTAATTTCATGCAGGAAAAAATGTTCAAACTGTATTACACGAATTCTGATTTCACCCTTTAAACGCGGAAATAATTAAATTAGTGATTGCATGACTAACGTATTGCGAATAATGTCCTTGTTAATGACACTGAAAGAGACAATGTTAATCTTACAGGACAGTAAACCGAGCGACAGCACGCGATGAATTATACTATGGCAATAACTTCCTCGTTTCCTGTTTCCAGCGAAATATGAATTTCAATAATTCCTCAACTATTCCTCCTTTCTCCCTTCTACAGACATACACGGAAGACAGTATTTTAACCCTATCCATACTTATACAGGACGTTTCAAATGATTGGACATGCAATGAATGCCACATGCCAGACTCTCCCTGGCTCCCCTTAACAAAGGGTTAAGGTCTTCGGTTTATTTCAACAAGCACATCATTTTTTAAACCCCTTGTACAGGTACAAGTTGTGCTTAGCGTGGCAGTGAGTTTACAATCGACTCATCTTTGTCATGTTGATGTCGCATGTCGTTGCCAGCGATTCGCATGACTTTAGGTCATTGTCCTTATCGACGTCCAATAAATTCCTGGGAAAGTGAAGCTTTCGCACAGCAATGCGTTCACCTTCATCCCTTTCTTTTTGTAACTTTCAATAACAATTTTGCAACTGGTTTGAATTTATAATAAATTTTATTCCTGACATTAATTTAAGCATTTTTGGCAAATTTCTGACTCGGTGCTTTTCTTTTTTAGAGGACGAGATTATATTAATCGAACACCTGCCTGGACGAAGGGTTCATCTTCAAGACTTCTTCTGGACCGACGCTAAAGATGCTCCACCATGGGTGGATCCTAATCAAGGATTGACCTTTTATGAAACTAGAACAATTCATCATACGGTAACCCTTTACTCACCTGTCGAAGATAAAGATAATCATGAACCAATATCCCCGCATCGAACTGACTCTTACGACCCAAAGTGTACTTCCTGTATCGAACCAACCCCTACATTCGACGAGGACGAGGATCAAAATATCGGTGTTCTTATCGGAGATGATCCTGGGCCTAGGTTTTTATCAACGATTATATTCTATGAAAGTACTCACTGATTTTAACGTGTAATATTTTTTTCAGGTACTGGTTGCTGACAGTTTTACGAGCTGGTGAAACTGTACCGCCTAAGATCGAATTGAGATTAGCACGTTTATATAGAACCGCGTTCTCGAGACAACAGCAACGTCACTTAGGTCTTTTGCAAACAGATCCAAGACTTCGAAGGGTGGCAAGAGATCAAACACTTGTTGAAAAAAAGGTATATTTGTTAAAGATGTTTTATGGAATTGTTTTATCAATATTCTATCGATATTCGTTTTTAGCCAGACGTTGCCCATAGCCAGAAAGAAATGATCGAGAAAACTAAATTAACAGCTCGAACAGATTCAGAATTCCAAATATCCAAGTTCAGAAATACACTTCTACCAAAACCTGACATCAGTAATATCGAGAATCACAAAGATCATACTTCAGTGGACGATTACTTAAAAACGTCGAGTCTCATTCAAGAAGAAGTATTAAATGAAAATGTGTCTACAACTACACCAGTGGATTTCAACGAAAGTACTACCGAGTATATAGATGTATCCTCTAATTCATCTTCTTCGTCACCATTTTCCTTGAGTAATCATTCCAAACAGCAGATATTAAACAATATTAGTACAGAGGAGACAAACGTGAATAAACGTTCCGAGTTCCGTTTGTTGGATCATCCTGGAGACCAAACCGTTCAAGTTAGAATGCAAAATACAAGCGTGACCGAAAGTGGTGCTACCAAGTTGATCTATTCTGTTCACTTAGGTGGCAAACCTGTGCCTGCTGAAACAGCAGCCAGAGATATGGCTCTGTTATCACCTCAGGAAGTCGCACTGGAGCTTGGTGCACCAGTTATTATTCAAAGTGAGCGTAAGTGTTTGTAATTAGTTATGCATTATATATATTATAATATTCTCTTATATATATTTCTATATACGTAGCTTATTTGAAAGAAACTCAACCACTGGCTCTTTCGAGAAGAAGGGACGCCTGGTTGTTAATTGGTGCAGCAAGTGCAGGTTTTATTCTCTTAGCCTTGATTGTTGCGGGATTAATTTTTGCGGCAAAAAGGAAAAGAGCGCATAGCGCGGTAGCTGCGCCACCGACTCATCATCTCCTGAAGAAGAAACGGGATTACATACAAGCCACTGCCGATCTTGACAATGCTTTCTCGACATCAGAAGTAGAAGCCAAAGTATTTTACATCTTTCTTGGGTATATACTTTTCTATCATGTATTTATCGATCCTTCTTCGCAGACTGACGGTACCAGTCACAGACAGACTCCTGGCAGTTTATCGAGGACTCCGGTGTCTCTTGAAAGTCCTGACAGTCTAGATGCAAGTATACACGAGGTTTCAAGCGACAACGACGAGGAACAGAAAAGAAAGGCGCGTGAACCAAGCCCATGGGAACATCCTCCGAAGAGATCGAGGTAGGAAAATCAAAGATAAATAAAGGGAAACACTTAATTATTAGATAATGTCTGTTATTAATTGCTTTTTATACAATATATAGATTAGCTCATGGGAGAATGTCTGAAACAAATGTTATGGATACGCCTAGGACTTCCGATTCAACAGATGTGATTGCCGATCACTTAGAAACTTTTGATTCTTTGGAAAACAATTATAGCAGGCAAGACGAAGAAGCCACTGCTTCGCCGCATTCTTACCTTTCCATGCCCTCTTGCAAACAGTTCCCCAGCATGAAAAGCGTCGAGCCACTTTCCAGAGTTCTTGAACCAGTTATGGTATGTTTACTTGTACAATTTACTGGAAGTTAAAGAATAACCAACATTTTTTCCCTTTAGGTGAAACATTTGGACATAGATTCTCCAGAACTGGCGAGACGGGATAACGATTACGCGAATGTTTTCAGAGGAGATGAACCAATTGATAGAATTTTTGCGCGAACTTCAAGTGCGATCAGAGATCCTGGAGTTGTGGGTCCTATTGTTTGGAATCTTCGTAGACAGCACATGTCCACAGAAGGTACGGTTTTCTTTTAAGTTCACTATGTAGTTTAAATGAAAAATTTATTTAATATTATTAAGGTAATGGTACATCTGGAACCGATGTTGATCCAACGTATGTAGCACCATCTGGTCCTGTAGGAAGAGCAAGAAGAAGGCTTCACGAGCTGCTAGAGGATTCCTTCAGTCTTTTTGGAAGTAGAGATCCAAAGAATGAACAGTCGAGCGTAACTCGATCAACTTCTGCGATACATGCTCCAGATGTCCTTACAATTTTTTCAGAGACCAAAGGAAGATCTATCTATATCAGGTGTCTATAATTTTATTTTATATCAGCAGTGTGATTCAACGTTTCCTGGCTCCTTAAACTCATCGATTATTTTTCTTTTCAGTCCTACGACAACACCGGTAACCGAAATCAAGCCAAGACCCCGTACTTCATTACCGGGAAAATCTGTTGAGGAAAGTGTTAATGAACATTGTAAACCACCTCAGTCTCGTAGCGGTTGGGGGAGCAGACCATTGAGTGCTGGTCCGTTTCATAGACCTAATTTACCAGACATAGACACAAGACGTATACTTACTGACTGCCAACTTCCGCCAGAGGATCCGGCAGTACCATTGATAGCCTCGATTAAAAAAGAATTGGACAAATTCTCTCCACGATAAATGATCACGTTGGTGAGTGATAGCAAGGTCTTTTTAATCCTTGAAAGTTAGGAATGCATACATTCGATGCTAGATATATTTAAATCGGTATTTAAAAATTATACTCGTGTAAATATTTCAGGAATTTTTTATACGTACACTTTTTATTAATAATGTTTGTATTATCACATCGAACGTATTTATATAAACTTATTCATTCTAACATCCGATAAAAGATAACATTCATATAACACTGCAATAATATTGTCATAGTTGAAAAATAATATTGCTTGTTCCATTGTACATATCATACAAGTAGGTTCATTTTCTTCGTTAAGAATTATTTATTTAAACAGGAAGGATCGATTTCTTATAACACATGCAATTTTATAATTGATTAAGGGCAAATAAATTATTTTAAATATTGCATTTAATTATATAAATGTAAATAATGTCTTATGGAAATCATTTTTATGATATTTTTGATACTTCAACAAATCGTTCGTTATTACAAAAATCTTTGTACGTATGTTCGTATCGAAGCTTGAACATTGAATATTTTTTCGTGAAAAATTGTATGTATTCAGGATGAGTTGGATCAACTTCTAAAAGCAAACGTCCACCAGGCTTCAAAGCTGTAGCACTGTATTTCAACAGGGGTTTAATGATTTTTAAACCATCCTCTCCTCCATCAAGTGCTGGCAAGTCTTCAAAACTAAAGCGTAAAATTAAATAATGAAAGATTACTATTTGCGAGATTTAAACGGAAATTATGATTGATTTACATTTTAATCTCGGGAGGTAAGGTAGGTATCTGCTTAGTCGACACGTATGGGGGATTGCTGACGATAAAATCAAAAGTTTTCGAATTTAAATCAAGATCTTTCGGGCCACTTAATACATTTGAAAGATCAATCGTTCCATTCTCTTGTAGTGTCGCATGCATAATTGCAACTTGTTTTTCTAACCCTAATCTGTCTCGATTTTCTTTAGTTAGTTCGCAAGCATCTGGATTCGAATCGATCGCTATACAATTTGCCTAAAACATAACATTATTATTTTAAATTAAAATATAGCGCATGTTCCATTAACATTATGATAATTACTGTTTTATTAGTATGCGCAATGGAAAGAGATATCGGTCCAGAACCGCATCCAACTTCTAAAATTTCATGGTTTTTATTTTGAGAAGAATTTAATGCCTTTAAAACATAATGAACTAACATTTCAGTTTCCGGCCGTGGAATAAAAACTGGTGGAACTAATTTTAGAGTAATATCTCGAAAATCCCATTCTCCTATTATATACTGCACTGGCATTCTGTGGAGAATATAAAAAGGAGTAACAAACATAGTTATTTAAGGATTTGATGAAAACGTTTTTACCTAGATAATCGACATTCGCACAGTGATTCCAATTTATCATATTCCTTCGAAGTAAGTCGTTTATTTCGCGTGTTAACGAGATCTAATATCTGAAAATAAATTTCCACTGAGATCTTATTACTTTCCTTTATAATAAATAATCACAACGAGGTCAATAAAGCAAGTATCTTGAAAAGTGCAAAGGCCGGCTGATGATCGCAATAGCCGGTTAATAAAGAACAAAACAAAATAAAATAATAAAAGTATGTAATGAATGAATTGAACATTTAATTCGTGTAATACCTTCTTAGTGCCTAGAACGTGTGCAACGATGTGCTCGATCGATTCTACGGGTTCTGGAATACTTTCCTTTTTAAATCGCTCGCTCCATTGTTCGATAACTTCACCGACCATGGGGCATTGCACGTTTGTTGCAAACAAACGTTGCACCGATTGTATCGACGTGATTATTTTACCTCGACTACTACATTGTTTACACGTTTCAGCACTTGCGACACTGAGAAAAGCACGAGCATTCGAAAGGGTATATCGAAACCACATTGTACTTCATAAACGATAATTTATTATGACTTTTTGAACGAACATATAACTATGAATTAACTAACATGACAATATAAAACATTCTCGGTTAGATTTTATTCTGTAGATTGCTTAATAAATTTTGTTACGTGCTGCCAGCTAGTGGATATCCACTCGGAATATAGACAAGTCACTTTGTTTATAGATCGTGAAGAAATAAGGCCTTTATTTTCCAGTTTTATAGTCGGTTTAGTAATTCGATAATTTCAGAACATCGGTCGATTAATTGCCGAGCAGTTCCACGCATTTCAACAGCTATAACAGTGACCAAGACTTCTTTTACTGCCATCCGGGGTCCTCGAAACCCCAAGTGCGTTCGACTGGGGTCTCTAGGATCCCACGTAGATCGAATTGAAGACTGCGTTTAATGCCATCCGGGGTCCTCGAAACCCCAAGTGCGTTCGACTGGGGTCTCTAGGATCCCACGTACATCGAATTGAAGTTGCGTTTATTGCTATCCGGGGTCCTCGAAACCCCAAGAGCGTTCGACTGGGGTCTCTAGGATCCCATGTAGATCTAATTGAGGACTGCTTTTATTGCCATCTGGGATCCTAGGAACCCCAAGTGCGTTCGACTGGGGTCTCTAGGATACCACGTAGATCGAATTGAAGGCTGCGTTTATTGCCACCCGGGGTCCTCGAAACCCCAAGTGCGTTCGACTGGGGTCTCTAGGATCCCATGTAGATCGAATTGAGGACTGCTTTTATTGCCATCTGGGATCCTAGGAACCCCAAGTGCGTTCGACTGGGGTCTCTAGGATCCCATGTAGATCGAATTGAAGACTGCTTTTATTGCCACCTGGGATCCTAGGAACCCCAAGTGCGATCGACTGGGGTGCCGAGGACCCCTCGTAAACCCAATTGAAGACACCTATACCTAATAATAAAATATTATTATTTTTAAGGTCTCTCAGTGTATTTCGTTTGTAAATCGTTTGTGATTGATTGTGAGTCTATTTTTAACGTTTGTGACAAATTAGTTCTTTTGTAATTAGCAATTCAATTTTAGTCATGATGTGAGCCGGAACTCTTTAGTAATTTTTTATAATAAATAGATTTTGTTATAACTGAACATATAACAAAAATGAGAAGTTAAATAATTTCATATATTATTATATATTATATATTATTTATAAATATTGTAAACCGGATCCTAAAGACATACATATACCCTTATTTTATTTTCTGCGTTCATTTCATATGTTGTAATTATTTTCTTAGCTTATTGAATAAACTCCTTATGAGGACGAACGTGTTGATTTTATTACTTCCGTCTGCACCCTTTATATCTCTGATTCCACTATATCTCAGCACCCTTCTATTACTGCATTCCTTACATCCCAGCAACCCTTACATCTCAGTATTCTTAACATCTCTTCATCCTTATACTCTTTTCATCCCTACATTCTTTTCACCTCTACACTATTTTCATCCCTACATTCCTTACATCACTTCATCCCTTAAATCCCTACATTATTATCATCCCTACATTCTTTTCATCCCTACATTTCTTACATCACTTCATCCCTTAAATCCCTACATTATTATCATCCCTACATTCTTTTCATCCCTACATTCCTTACATCACTTCATCCCTTAAATCCCTACATTATTATCATCCCTACATTCTTTTCATCCCTACATTCTTTTCTTCCCTACATTCTTTTCACCCCTACACTCTTTTCATCCCTACAGTCCTTACATCTCTTCATCCCTACATTCCTTTCATCCCTACACTCCATCCACCTCTTCATCCCTTAGACCACTACATTCTTTTCATCCCTACATTCCTTTCATCCCTATATTCCTTACATCTCTGCATCCCTTATAATAAATACATTACAAAGACTGCTTCGAGTAAAGGTAAGTAAAGGTAAGTTTACTTTTACGCGAAATTTTTGAAAGAATAGCGCCCCCTAGCGGCAAAAATGCGAACTAAAATTTCGATGTCGAATCAGCGCCATCTGGATTCGGAAAAAGGAACTATATCATGCTCAATTTCTGGCCCTCTGGCGGCAAAAATGTGAACTAAAATTTCGATGTCGAATCAGCGCCATCTGGTTTCAGAAAAAGGAACTAAATCATGCTCAATTTCTGGCCCCCTGGCGGCAAAAATGTGAACTAAAATTTCGATGTCGAATCAGCGCCATCTGGTTTCGGAAAAAGGAACTATATCATGCTCAGTTTTTGGCCCTCTGGCGGCAAAAATGTGAACTAAAATTTCGATGTCGAATCAGCGCCATCTGGTTTCGGAAAAAGGAACTATATCAGGCTCAGTTTTTGGCCCTCTGGCGGCAAAAATTTGAACTAAAATTTCGATGTCGAAACAGCGCCCTCTGGCGGGGAAAAAGGGTACTAAATCTTACTGAATTTCTGGATGAAAGGAGTGTAGGGATGAAAAAAATGTAGTGATTTAAGGGATGAAGAGATGTAAGGAGTGTAGGGATGAAACGAATGTAGGGATGAAAAGAATGTAGGGATGAAAAGAATGTAGGGATGAAAAGAGTGTAGGGATGAAAAGAATGTGGGGATGAAACGAGTGTAGGGATGAAAAGAATGTAGGGATGAAAAGAGTGTAGGGATGAAAAGAATGTGGGGATGAAGAGAATGTAGGGATTTAAGGGATGAAGTGATGTAAGGAATGTTGGGATGAAAAGAATGTAGGGATGAAAAGAGTGTAGGGATGAAAAGAGTGTAGGGATGAAAAGAATGTAGGGATGAACGGAATGTTGGGATGAAAAGAATGTAGGGATGAAAAGAGTGTAGGGATGAAAAGAATGTGGGGATGAAGAAGATGTAGGGATAATAATAATGTAGGGATTTAAGGGATGAAGTGATGTAAGGAATGTAGGGATGAAAAGAATGTAGGGATGAAAAGAATGTAGGGATGAAAGGAATGCAGGGATGTAAGGGATACTGAGATGGCCTTGGCCTATAATGAGGGATAAAATTAGATAAATAACTGGAAAAAGTAAAATAAATGAGGTCCTCGGCTGAGACTCCACATGGCAGCAAATATAGTCTTCAATTCGATCCAGGCGAACGCACTTGGGGTTTCTAGGATCCCATATGGCAATAAACGTAATCTTCAATTTAATCTCCGCGGGATCCTAGACACCCCACTCGAACGCACTTGGGGTTACGAGGATCACGGACGGCAATAAACGCAGCCTTCAATTCGATCTACGTGGGATCCTAGAGACCCCAGTCGAACGCACTTGGGGTTTCGAGAACCCCGGATGGCAATAAACGCAACCTCCAATTCGATCTACGTGGGATCCTAGAGACCCCAGTCGATCGCACTTGGGGTTCCTAGGATCCCAGATGGCAATAAAAGCAGTCCTCAATTCGATCTACATGGGATCCTAGAGACCCCAGTCGAACGCACTAGGGGTTCCGAGGACCCCGGATGGCAATAAACGCAGCCTTCAGTTCGATCTAGTTGGGATCCTAGAGACCCCAGTCGAACGCACTTGGGGTTTCGAAGACCCCGATGGCAATAAACGCAGCCTTCAGTTCGATCTACTTGGGATCCTAGAGACCCCAGTCGAACGCACTTGGGGTGTCGAGGACCCCTCGCGGCAGTAAAGGAAGTCCCGAATTCGGTCATTATTGCAGCTGTTTGAAATGTAAGGAAACTGCTCGGCAATTTATCGATCGATGTTCTGCTATTAGTGAATTACCGACTTTCTAATGGGTTGATCGATAAGTGAATAAGTTGTCGAGTAGTTTCAAGCTCTTATGTATAGATGGCGTTAATGTCGAATTTGAGACTTCTTTTTACGGGTGATTTAATGTTGCAATTAAATTATAATTAACGTCCTAATTTGTAAACCGACTGTAAAAGATAATAATAAAGACTTCTATTTCTTCAGCGTCTAAAGACATACTGTCGCATTTCAGGCCAATGCGGATAATTATATTATTTTTTTTGCTCTTACCTTACTGATCTTATTATGGATGTAGTGTAATGTAGGCTAATTTAATGCTTTAAACATTGAACACTTTGCAGAATTAAGTTTATTTTCGACAAATTTACAAGTTTATAATTTTATTTGACATTATACTCTTCGATGCATTGATTTCTTTAAAAGTTTCTATACTCTTCCGTATGAGATCGCTGTACGTGGTCTCTTTGTTCTATGTAGGTCAGCATAATTTAATTTAAACCGAATGGCTGTTAAACATTCCAAACTTGTCTTTCACCTTGTACTTGCCGATTAATTAAAGCAATCTAAACGTGATTGCACGCTCCACCGCATATTCATTTGCACGAATTCATTGACGTCGAAAACAATGAAAGCAAATTGTATCGTTTGAATGCGTGTGTCCATGAAATCCATGACGTTCTTAAACATATATTCCTCCTATTTGAAAATGATTTTTTAATCTTTTAACAATATTGATCGAACAGTACAGCACTTTACATTTCGTTATATCTAACTAATATAATAAAATGACGCTTAATATAATAAAATCATCTATGAAATAAAAATTAAGATTTAAAGAAGGAATAATGAGCTGAACATTTTACATTCATCCATCGATAAAGGCTCTACGACGATAAACGGTATAAAAATTAGTAAACTATTTCTTAATGACCCATTGCGTCATTGGTGACGCTTAGAACAATGGTAGGCGAACAAAGAGTTTGAAAAATCTCGCTGACACATGGATACAGAGCTGGTAACTGGTGTCCCTGGGGGCGTTAAATAATTCACCGCAGCTGGGACCGAGGGTTAGGTAAGAGGCGAAGGTTGTGGGAGGGCGAAGGAGGCGAAGGTTGAAGGACCGATCAAATATTCACATCTACTTCAACGCGGATGGAGCTAAGCAGCGTCGAGCACGTAAACGTAACCGAGAGAAGAAGAATCTTCGAAGTCAAGTCCAATTGTCTGATACGTGTTCTGGAACTGCTCCTTACCTATAAAGAAGAAGATGGTTAAAAAGAAGAAGAAGAAACTATAAGTAATTTCAGTGACAGCGATGTTCGTATTCAGAACCATCGTGCCTTCTCTCTGCAATTTTTCCTTTACCTTTTTTTACGATGGTTACCCATATTCGGTCAAGCGATCTCACGGGGACCAAGTTAAACGACCAATCACGCTTAGAAACGTAAAAATGTGTCACTGGGGTGCTGTAATATTGCTGGTAGAAGCTTGTCGAGAGCGATTTCGCCTATGGTTGTCCATGCTGTTCGATGAATTTCGATTGATCATCTTTGGGGTCGAGTGACTGTTAACGCGTTAGGACGGACGAGCTCGTCTGTAAATCAATTTCCATCGCAAGAAGTTAACGATGACCCTATTGATAAGATAACTGTACAATTATTTGTTCTTACCTCCTGTTCAGCTCGTTACCCTTTAAAAAGAAAGTTGATCTTTTCGCAAAGAGAGTTCGTCTGGGAGAAAGGGTTTGGGAAAGAATTGGTCAACGAGGCGTGCTTCGCTCCTAATCATCATTCTAATTATCTCGGTAACCCAATCCAGTGTTCGTGTCGCGTCTTGGCTTCCCGCCTTTCCATCCCTCTCTCGAACTTCTCGATTCTCCCGTCTCGATTCCTACACCCTGCCTGGCGAATTTTCTACCCTCTCAAACGCGAACGGTTCGTCTCCTTCTCACCTCGGTCCTCTGTTCCTTTCTCAATCGTCGCTACCGCCAACCTATCTCGTCTCTTTTCTTCCAAGTCCTGACTGCGGGATTGCCGACGACCGCCCATCTAAGTTTAACAATTAACGGCTGAAAAATAAATTAATTGGAAACTAACGCCTCGTGTCAGGCACACGCGGCCTAATCACGATCGTTGGATAGAGGAAGAGGGTTCCTGTACAGCTTGTTCTCGAAATCTCTGAAACGTAACTGAAGTTTTAGCGAAGTTTCAGAACTCTGAGAACCTTGGGAAAAGAGAATACGCGAAAAGGTTCTGGTGTTCGTACGAACAAACCGCGTGTGCACGATACTTCACTTTATTTCGATGAAATGCCAAGCCACGGGTGTCTCTACGACACCCACTCGGCCACCCTTACCAATCTTTTCTTCCCTTCGACTCGTCCTTTTGTCCCGCTTGTCAGGGCTGACAGAAAGTGCAAGCATCTGGGATGAGGTATTTGTCATACGTCGATAGGCGTCAGCGTTGACACAGTCTGTGAGCGTGAAACGGAAGTGGCGTTTGGGGGCGGCGACGATTGAAGGGTTTGTAGGGAAAGACAGATAAATATTTGAGGAATTTGTCGTCGCCTTCCGCGACGATCGGGAGACCTATCGCCTGTTTACCAGCCCTGTAAAAAAGGATTTCAGTCAATCATTGTACACAAAACTGGCGAGGGTGAATAGCGATGGAAATAAGGGGTTGGACGTTTAATTATCGTGAGAAAACTTGATTCTATTTTTTTTTCGTTAACCCTTTACGCGGAAAGAAAAATTAAAGGCTGAGAATTTCGAACTGGGAACGTTTATCGTTGCAGGGATACAGTTACAGGGTACATCCGGTGTAACCGATAGAGTGTAGCGAAAAGCCCAGGTAGCCAGAGTAAAACCAGCCCGCTAGGGAAGTTCATTAATGGATTAAGTGTAGCCGATCGATACGATTAGAGTGACGCGTGGGAGAAACGAGGCGAATCGAAACTTAACCCAATTGCCGATCAATTTTTGTCGCAGACGCACGGATTTGATTTATGGAAAAACACAGAAGTCCTGTAAATGCGCGTACGCGGTAGCTGACATTATCGGGAGAGATAAATAAATCTGGATTATCAAGGATTCCCTCGAGGCTAGAAGGCGCGCGCAGGGACAGTGTAAACGGTTTGACGTGATAAAAAATATAATAAAAGAACAGCTGCAGGCTGATCTGTCGAACAAAGTCGATGAATACTGACAGAAACACGGATGAAGGATCGAAAAAGGGTTGAAAGACTGTTTGCGAACGAATCAACATTCACCTATGGACGCTGTTATCGATCGTTGTTAAATAATTTCTTAATAACAGCAAATGTATCGATAATCCAAATGATCGTCGATAAGATTATTTGTAACAGCGTGTTTCTACATGGAAAAGCGGTGTTGGAAGAGAGAGGAAACCCATTGAAATCTGAGTTACAGCGTTACGATAATTGTTTGAGATAGGGGTGTCTTGGGGTTAGAATTTATCGCGTGTAATTCGCACGGAATCGTCGATAATCCTGGCCCCGAATCCACTCTATCTAGACACAGGGAGACTACTTTTCTATCGATCGTACGGATTGATATGAGTACCGTGTAGCGTGTGGCCCCTTAGACATCGTATGGAGGTTGAATTTTAAAACTACCCCCTGGAGAGAGACACGGCAAGTTGGCGAGGCCCGTCTTTTTGAATCACACTGCTACACACGCGGGACTCGGTGTTGCGTAAAGGAGTACAAATCCCCGGGGACCACGCGTCGATACCTATTTCCGTCCGGTATCGACGACCTGATGTTCAATTCGAAACATACGTAGGGAGATCTTTCAACGCTACAAGAACTTTGTATTAGTGAAAGACACGTAAAAATAGGATGCTTCACTGGTCAGGATGAATATTAAATCTGGCTTAACACTCGGTACCTTTCGAATGTTCCTCTACATCTTCGCCCAGCTCGTGCTCATTTATTTGGAGGACGGTAGTCTTCGTCGTCGTCGTTGTCGTTGCTTGGTGACCTCGTAGATTAAAGACGAACGGCAAGTACGACGGTCCCAGGCGACCCTTTATGTTCAGCCACGTTTCCACGGTGCTTGAACTATATAGAAGCAGAAGAGGAAGAGGGAGAGACGATAAGGGAAAGGGGATGTGGAGAGAGAAGATAGGAAAGGCGACGGCTGGATGGAAGGAAGCAAGGTGGTAAGACTCACGGCAGGATGGCGGTTGGTTGGAGGTTTCAAGGTGGAGCTCGACCCGCTGTCGTGCCTCTAATAAGCTACCCCCAAACCTCCTTCCACCTTCACGACCCTTACATCCCTTTACGGCCAGACCGGGCAGCACTGCAATTTGATAAACTGTCACCGATAGAACTTTTACTTTTCAAACAGAGAATTTCTATCAATTTATATCATTACCCTTGTATACTCGCAAGTTCTTGTTCGAATTTCCTGGTTGAGTTGATCTACACAGAAGTCTTCCCATTTCCATGCAAATCGTTTGGCCATAATTCCAGCGAGCGGCAACCTGGGGAAAAAATTACAGGAATCTGTAGTTAGTTCCAGACTGATGGTTACATCTGTTGTCAGGGACAATTTCATTATCAGTGATAGCCTCGTATCGCGAATTCTACCCGGTGAGAGTATATCGATCTTTAGAGCCAGTGGACTGAACGGTACTCGATGGAGCAGAAGGGCAGCTGCGGCACAGGACCTTGAAGGCCAGCAAAGCAGACCCCAGCCTCTTGGGAAATGATACCACTTTGCAAGGAGCGAATGGAAATGACCCTAGGATCGCCTCCGGTACGCTTCTCTCTTGGGTCGTTCTTGGTCAGAGACGATGACGATTCCAAGGCAGAAGGGGAACGCAACTACCCTGATTAAGGAGCGGTCGCATTCCGATGATGTCCCTAACCCCGTAACTTAACGCATGCGGCGTCTCGATTCTTAGTAATTGCTGGCTAAACACCGCTTGCATGGTGGTCAAGAGACCCTTCGATAATCTCATCCTATCTTAACCCATCGAACGACTCACTCGTGTCTCCTTACGCTCGTTGTAACGTCGTTAAAAATTTAAGTATTCAACTATTGACCCTTCGTGCAAGTTTACCGAGAAGTTTCGAACATTTACGCGCGAGTATTCATTAAGAGGAGATCCCGTGCAAAGGCAGGGATACCGGAGACTGTTCCCGTAACCAGGGTAATCGGAGGTTGCTCAGAAACGGTGAGAAAGTTAGGTGAAGTTGTAGTAGGTGTGGGGTGTACACCCCTCGTGTGACGAGTCGTTTCTTGACACTAACAGACCCTCGTCTCTCTGTTGCTTCTGTCCAAGACGACATTACAGTTGTCTGAGAGACATATTCATCGTACATCATCATCATCATCATCATACGAGCTCGCATTTCTGATTACCTTTCCTGGTTCGGATAATTAGTCACGAAACGAGTGATCGCTGTACCTCGGGAAATATTGTCCTCTCGTCGAGACAATAGCGCAAAGTAAAATAGGACACCGAACTGTCCGCACGGTAGGATTAACGCGATCAAGGGATCGGAATGGGAAAATTGTGTCCCCGTCGCGTGGCTGAGCGCACAGATTCCGTTGGCAAAAAGTTCTTTTAATTATACTAAGTAACGTTTTTCGTGGACGCGTCCTCGAAGATCGCGCTGGTCATAATATTTAATCACTACTCGTTTCTTCTCCCCATTCTCTGCAAGAAGTTTCTTCGTTCAGCGACGGAAATGAATCGTCCTCGTTACGAAGAGTGTTTCCTAGATCTTCTTGTCCGGACTCGAAAGAAAATTCTTTATTTTTCCTCGAGTGATTTTCACGATCGATACTCACTTTCCGTGGCTCGATTTCCCATCGAGTCGGTTCGATTCTATCGGTTCAACCGAGGTGGGAAAGTTGTCAACGAACTCGACAATAGATTATCAGGCGTTTCGAGAGCTCCGAACCCTTCCGATCTTAAAGATTACGAAACAAACAAGAGCGCGAAGCCGGCAAATGGGGTGACACGATGCAGGGGTGGAACGCTGCTAACCCCTCAGACTTTACCCTTACCGATGCTTCCGCGAGAGACAACGATTTTCTGTAATAAGCTGCAGGGAGAATTGATTATTTCTTCGAAAATTTACCTAAGTCAGCTAACGCACACGTGATTTCGTGGCAACCGGTTTCAACAGCGCCAACAAACCTTTTCCGTCGAGAAGAAAATTGGCAAAGGAAAATGTAGCAGGGATACGGGGAGGCTGATTTTTCGATAGGGATTGCAACCGAGACGGTACCGTGCGAACGAGAAGGGAAAATAGAGAAGGAGGAAGAAGAAGGACGCGTCGCCAGGCCGCGGAGAAAATAAGAAAGCAAATTACCTAGCAGTCATCTACCCCTTGGGGTGAGGTGTCGATATGACATGTAGGGAGACAAGGGACCTACGGCTGGCAACCCCTGGGGTTTATTACAAGGGTGGAATCAAATACACCGGGTGTCAAAAAATGAAACGCCACCCCATCGCGTTCTTTCTGCACCCTCACCTCGGGATCGAGGGTGTTGGGATGAGGTGACGGTAAGTTACGGGATGGCGAGAGGGGTTGCTAGTTGTAACCGAGTCGGATTTGGACGGTTCCTCGCGGGCCGAGGGGTTGCAGACGTCTTTCTCTTTATGAATCGGTGTCTTTCAGTTTCTTTAGAAAACCGTGTAACAATGATCCCGATATTTAATAAGGTTAAACGCGAAAATTTGAAAGGAAATATAAAATGTCTCTAACGTGCTTGTACGTGGAATTGTTTTACGAGGAGCACGGATGATCAGACGATGCAATTTCTCGCTGAGAAACGCGATGTCCGCTGGTGAGAAGCCCCGATTACGCGTCTGGCTGCTAATCTGATTTCAGCCACCTCCAGACCAACAACTCCTTAGCTCTACTCCTTTGGTTTCTCTCGACAATCTTGTTACGTTGGATAGACGGGGGAGTTGGGAGCGTGGAATCTTGTGCCGATGATACTTACACGTGATCCCTTGGTTGATATATACACCCCTTTCCAGAGGGGAATTTTTCCAATCTGAAACATAAAAAGACTTGTCAGAAGCTTGTTAAGTGTTAAGTACTTAAGTCCTTACAAACAGTTTATCCTATGATAAATATAAATATTAAAGAAATTATTTATTAAGTATCAACAATCGTTACCCGTGTTAGCAAAGGTGTTAATGGAATCGATCGAATAACGATGAAGGAGAAAAAGTTTCTCGTTGATCGAGGTTCGCCAAGACTGTCGTGGTCGGCAAGCATCGTGTCGGTGGTGCAACCGTTTGGAATCGGCGTAAAGCCAGCCACCGTGTTCCTTGCCATCCTCCACCGTCAGGATGACAGGGGGGTGGTGGACGGCAGGGGACAAAACTCACCCTAAGAAGCCTTTAAGAACGTCAAGGCGGCGGGTAACGTTGGTGGGGTATAAAAGTAGCCGCATGCGCAAACTCGTGAAAAACTGCGACCCGCCTCCGGCGCCGCCTCCAGCCTCTTTCCACCCCCCGCGACGACCCTCTCACCTAGACACCCGCACCCCCTTAGACCTCCCCCCCTCAAGACGCGGTCGTCTTGGAGGACGAGCAGCGGCCTTTTTCGACAATTGGCCCCGGCTAACACGTGCTAACCGTGTGTGATTACCTTCGCTACGAAAACGCGACCACCCCCCCCCGCCTTGCTATCTTTTGCACCCGCACCCGCGGAGACGTTCCGTGGCCGCGAAAATCAAAGTGTCATCCAACGCGAAGAAGATCCGACAACTAAGAATCATCAGGATAACGAGTTCGCGATGGAACTGGTGAAGAAACGAAGGATAGTTCCGTGAACGAAGGGTTGTGAGTGAGTCATCGATCCGGATCTATCTGGCAATTTGTTTCGTTTCATTTTTATCAGAGATTCTGTTTTCATATTGGGGAAGAGAAAGGGTGGTCAAGTGAGGGTGATTCGAAACTTTCCCTTCGGTTTTCTACCGACAAATAATGTCAAGTTTTTGTAAAGTGTTAATAGGAAAGGGGAGTTTTCCCTCCCTTTGTACCAACTTCTTTTCAATTTCAGTGAAATTTTGTGTTCATTTCTTAAGTTCTTGTTCAAGTTCTCGTTTCGTAACGATAAACAATGTCAAGCCTTTTTTTTTTTTGTTTCAATGATTTTGTGTTCATTTTTTGAACGAGAGTAGGCAAAGTGAGGGGGTGTGGGATGGGGATGAGGCGAGAACGTGTGAGCACCAATTATTTCTTGCCAGGCAGCACGGGAACAACGAGCAGCGTTGATCTAATTGGTCGCCAGTAGGTAATTGTTCGGTGTCGATAATTGGGCCAATTAATTTGTACGGAAAAGTGCGTCGATAATCGTCCAGCATTCACCGCCGCGATACCGATTATGTGGACCGTGTCAGATGCGGGTTATGGAATATCGTTACCGTGAAAAAGGCCGAGAAACGAAACAAAAAATAAAAAAAAGAAAGGAAAAAAAAGGAAATAAAAGAAAATAGTGAAACATGGGTGGTGATCCGGTCGAAACACGAACACCGGTCACGTAATCGAATATATTTTTCTTTTAATTGAAAAATATCGTCGCCTACCGTTTCGACCGGTAATTTTATGGCGACAGGATTTAATTACATGAAATCACGTCAAACTGGACGATATAATTAAATACCTGTTTTTCCGTGAAAAACTGACGCGCCACGGAACACTGTCGGGCACGTTTTTATTGAAATATTCGAAACCTGCTAAATATCTAGCTTCGCTCACCTCTCTCTACTTCATCGAGTTGTTGTATTTCGAATATTCGATTTCGTTTTTCGCGAATTTAAAATTCCCTCCACGCAACACCGTCTACTCGTCTTAATGCTTCTTTCTCTATCTTTTCTCTTGGAACTATGAACGCGCGAAGAATTTTAAAGAAACAAAATTCCTCGTATCTTTCTTGGAAAGAAAAGCAGGAAATGATTTTGAAGAATTTTAAGATACACGCACGATAGAAATAAGAAACGAACGCATCGTTGTGCGTCGAAAACGGGGGCAGAAAAATAGAAGGGCAGAAAAAAGAGAGACGATGTATCACCCGAGGGTCCGATGTATGACGAAATGCATCTCGGGAACTCGACGTTTAGGGACGCGGAGGCGTTGCATTGTTACTCGTTGGGGTGTAGGATTATATGGGGTGGTCTCTGTCGTACAGGGATCCTCGTAACTTGCTACAGATCCGTCATGATCGATAGTCTTTTATCGTTTGTCGAAAGAGAAACTCTATACTATTCCGTTCACTGTGTTTCATTTCGAAAGCTGAAATATTCTCTTCAAGATCATAGGATAATTAATAATTTAATTAACAAAACCTGAAGCGAAAAGGTTTACGTTCGTGTTCGCGCTAATTTCGAAGCTTCATCAGCGTCTGGTCGTGGGTGTTGGCATCTCCGTGGAACCGTTTAATCTCGGCGAGGTATCGCAATAACGATAATTGTGACCGGTTGAAGAAGAGATCCTTGCCAATTTCCGAGCAATGCTGCAAAGGTTTCTCGTAGACGTTGGATGCGTTCAACAGCCGACAACACGTATGACGCTGACATTAAGACAAAGTCTCACCGTTCCCCTTCTTTCACCGCTTTTCTATCTCGGTTATCTCTGTTCAGCCCTCGCCGGTTTCTCGTTGCTCGCTTGTGCACCCTCGCAAAGACCCCCGAGCATCGCCGAACAACCCCCTCGGTTGATGCTCGCTGCTAAAACGCAACTACACGAGGGACCTTTCTGCCGTCTTTGTTTTCCCTTTCTTCACCAGTGTCGTTTTGCAGTCTCGCGCGGGGAGGTCGTTGTACGACGGAAGCGGCCACGACTCGACGAGGAAACAAAGAAAAAAAAAAAGGACAATCGAAACGGTGGCAAGTTCGTTATCGGTGTACCGAGAAACCGCAACGTGGAAACGATCAACCAGATCGTCCACTAATTACACCGGATCCTTTTCTTTTTTTTTCCTCCGCTTGCTGGAAATTGCGGTGGAGCGCGTGCCGGTTTAACCCTCGAATGGTATCCGGGTTAACCACCACTTGGACCAACGAAACTGCACTTGCTCGTGCGAGTTTTCAAACGAAACGCGTTCGACGTCGCGAAGTTAATTGTAAAGTGATTGTTGACGCGTTGAATCTCTTCGTGATCCAATGCTGATCGAGGAATATCAACAAACGTGACTCGGGGATTCTTCGAAACGTCGCGAAAGTGGGGACGAGCGAATTCTGATGACGGAAGAAAAAATTTAAAGTGAATATGAAGCGTACCGACGAATATCAATCCGATGATCGTTCGCAGTGTTGCTTCGAGTGTATCACAGTGTGGTGCATAATCGTTTAACTTGCGCGATTAACGTTCGCGCAAGTACCAGTACTTAACAAGCTAAATAAGATCCTGATCGAAATTCGTACGTCACCCGAATATGGGTGCCGTGGCAATCGAGGTGTTAATTGTGAACGATGAACTAGAAGTTAGAGCATAGTGAATCGTCTACTCTTCAAAGGAATTCCAACGCGTGTGCGAGGGAGAAAGATAAAGGATAGGTGTGTTGCGATCAGCAAGAGTAGCAAGAGTAGCGAGAACAGCAGCGGTAGTAGCATCAGGATATCGTGGAAGAGGGTGCAGCAGGAGAGAGAGATTTTTCCCCACCGCTTGGAAAAACGAACCCCCACCAAGTCGCTTAGTACGGGCAGGCGGCGGTGGCGGCGGCGGCGTGGAAGAGAGGCACGGAGGGGTAGGTTAGCCAGGGTGGTCTCGGTGGTGGCTGGGGGCGGCAGCCTCAAAAATACACCGCAACCACACCGCGCGGCTCCACCGCAGAAGCCGCCATCTTCCACCGGCGAACCGAAACGAGACCGCGCGAGTTAAACACCCTATCCTACTTCCCCGTGCAAGTTGCCGCTGCCACCCGCCGAACTAACAGCGACCAAGAAGTATCTCTGCTTCTTCTGACCGGCAGCCTGAACCGTTGTCAACCAACAGCGCGCGAAGAAAATTCAATTTTCCACCGGTATGGATAACAACAACGGACCGGATGTCCTCTTCGAATGACGCGTTTACCCTTCCAGTGACAATTGGATTTCGAGGTAGCACGCGTGTCCATGTGGTGATTCGATACAGTGCTGTTCCTTGAATTGGCAAGAATAATAATGTGCGTATGTGGCATTTGTGTCGCGGTCGGAGCTGGCTTCGAGGATTCCCGGCGCGGAATTAACACCTGTTAGATGGTCGACCGCAAGTGCTGATGTGATATTAGTGGCGGATAATTTTGATCGGCACGTGGCAAGTCATCGAGATTTCAAATCGTATTAATAGTCGGAGCGAGGATAGCCGAATCGAACAATGAATGAATGATGAAAAGAAAGCGGGAGAGAGTGGGGTAACCGATCAAAGAAACGAAGAAACGAGGGGTCGATTCGACAACGATTCCAATAAAACGAATTTTCTCCGCGACTTGGCAATCGAGACGAGGAAGAATTTGCAAACGGATGCTCTCTTACCTCGGCCCTGTCGCGGGATAATGAAATAAGGATCAAAGGATCGTTGGGACCACGCGGAAACTGGCGCGTGTCGTTCGAAGAAACCAACCGAACTATGATTATATATTAATTCATCGTTGCTGAACAAACTTGATAGATTCAAAGACGTTAGGAGACAGAGTTCGAATTAATTAGTCAGTTTATAGATTAATCAGTGCTGTGATCGAGTGAAAAAAAGAAAGAAAATTCAGTCGAATTCTTCGCAGCAGTTTGCCGGCGAGCAGGATATTTCGAATAAAGAGTCCGATGATCCTGTTCTCATGACGAATCCTTTACGAGATGCACGCCCCGAGGATCGGCCTCCAGGCTTAGACTATCCTGACCCTAGATTAGTTCGCAACGGTCATCAGGATCACCAAGGGAACTCGGTGCATCAGATCGGTGGCGGGAGAATCCGACGAACAAGGACCTCGTCATCGAGGAGAAGAATGCACTTGACGAACGAGGTACCTCCACAAGGATCCACTGGCGGAAATAATCTACCAGACTATGCCCTTACCGCGGATCTGCTCGCCGAAAGAACTTTGGACGGGTTGTTCGCGGAACACCCTGGGGAACTGGTTCGAACAGGTAAGAAATATGAAAATTTCATATTTTTCTATGGGAGAAACTTTCAAACGACTCATGTTTTTTCTTACGTATTCGATCCCATTCAACAAGTAGAAAACTAGTTGAACTAGATACCGTGTTCATAAACTTTGGAATAGAATGGATGGTCGATCGTATGATCGAGCAATATTTAGTTTCCGGCTTACGGTTTGTTTCAATGAAGATTTATCTACGATAGGTTCGCCGCACGTGGTTTGTACGGTGCTACCAGCACACTGGAGGTCAAACAAGACCCTTCCGGTTGCGTTTAAGGTGGTAGCCCTAGGCGAGGTCGGTGATGGGACCCTGGTGACGGTTCGTGCTGGGAACGACGAAAATTGTTGCGCGGAATTGCGAAATTCCACCGCGGTGATGAAGAACCAGGTAGCGAAATTCAACGACCTCAGGTTCGTCGGTCGAAGCGGTCGAGGTGAGTCGTTTTCTGATATCATTTTATCACGTCAGATATTTCAACCATTTCCTGGTAAAAATCGCAACGTCAAACCAACTGAACCAATTAAGGACACGTTCTCTTAGGGGCGATTGAAAAAAAAAAAAAAGAAAGATTCGATCAGCTCGACTCGTACCGAGAAAAGAAGCTTTTTCCAAGGCGTCTTAAATCATTCAACAGTCGGTACATTAAGGCGGTGGGCCGACTGATGGCCTCGTTTTTCCTCGGACGAGAAAGACGAACCAGCTGGCCCCTTCGTTTCATCCTCATTTTTAATTCACCCGGCAAATACGACGACTCCGATATCTCGGCCTGGCCGACGCGACGTCGTCGAGATTTTTTAATTTCCCGCCTCCGCGTCTCAATAATTCAGCCATTCCTTTGGAGTTCGTAGGAGGAAGGGAGAAGGGAAAGGAAAAGATCAACGGGGCCCTAGCTTCGTTGAATAATGCGAGCTAATAATCGCTGCCATTACGAGAGCTCGAACTAGTAGGACTTAGAAGAAGAAAGTCGCTCCCTTGTTTTTTTCCCGACCCGAGAGGGTGGCAAGGATCGAGAGATACGAGTAACGAGGCGTCCTTTAATTCCTTTAATTCGACCGGGTTGCAACGACGTCCCTTCCCATCTTCAGGCTCGTCTTTCTTCCTTCGATCGCTAACTTTCGTAGCGACGAACGCGACGCTGCTGGTGGTAGTATTCGGTTAACGAGGGGGGTTGGTCGACTTGTTTATGGCAAATTGGAAAAGGAAATTGCGGGGTCTGGCCCCGGTATCGACGCTCTTCCTTCGACCGAAGTCGATTGAGAGACGAGGTCGAATCTTAAACGGTGGTGGTTTAAATGCCAGCTTTTTTTTTTTTTATGGATCACCCTCTTGACTCGCGCGTCTGCGGAGGACGTAAATTTTCAAATATTTTCCCAGTCTTTCCCCAACGAAAGCTCACTTTCCACGATGAAGTTGTTTCCTCTGGCGAAGGGTGAAAATTTTGCAAACGATCTCGGGTTACTTGAAGCTCGTCAACGGCGGAGAAATAGACAGCAGTTTTTAAAAGAAGGTCATAGAGGGGATGGGAGGACGATTTTCATCCCTAATGCCAGGATAAATTCGCAAATTACCGCGTACCGGTTCGAGATGAACACCGTCAGGAGGAAATATTTCCGGCAGATTGGGATATCGGCGTTTCCCGGACACGCGGAAAACAATCTTGCATGATCCGTCACCCTCATAGAGGTTCTAGAGGCAAATCGTTGCGTACGGTTGGTAGTTAGGGGCTGCCCGTAATACAGTAATGAGGGCTTACTGCCATGGAAACCAAAGCCGCTTACAGCCAACCACTCTACTCCCAAACCACCCCCCTCGACCACCCACACCCACCTCCCTCTCTCACCCTCCTATTCTCTGATTCCCTATGTATCCGCGATATCCTTCTCATCCGACGAGTTTCGCGAAAAAATTGTGAAAACCATTCCATGGAACTTCGTGACGAATCTAAGTTGATGAAGCATGTGGCGGGGTAATCGTTACATGCTGAAATGTCGTACAATCTACGCGCAATATGCTCGATCCATGTTCGATTGTAGGAAGCAATTTTTTTTTCTGGACAATTTTAAACGCCTCGCGATATCAACCACACTCGATATTTCGCGAAAAAATATCACCGGGGCGCGTTTTTCCAAGCACGCAACGTTCGCGATTGCTCGCCGCCGATCACCGATAACAGAGGTAATCGTTATCATCTACGGAGTCGTGCAAACAGATTTGCTAAATAAATCGAAAATTTATGATGTTTGCCAGCGAGTGACGTGGTGTATCGCGCATAATACCACGGAGACGAGTCGTTGGCTGGTCCGCTTCATATACGGATTCCGTGTACATTTTTCCCCCGTTCTTTTTTTCTTTTTTTTTTTCGCCTCCGTTATTTTGTACGCGGCCCGCGCTCACTGACCATTTTGGGGCAAATATTTGTTCCATGCTCGCTCGCGGGCTTCGCCATGCCAATTTAATATTGCGAATGCGGATGAGGAATGATTTTAGTCGAGATAAACGACGAGTGCGTTGCACGAAAAATTGAAATGAGCCGGCTGCCCTCGATTCCATCTGTTCTCTCGACCATTTTTAACGCCTTTCGAATCATCCAATGGAAAGAGAACGACGACACTTCGATTTTTAAACGAAATTAGATTGAAATTTTAGTATAAACTCCTGGCAATACGAGATACTGTATCCTTCGTTGATCGATTCAACCATTTAACCAGCCGTAAAGTTTCGAAAACGCGTCTGTCTACTTTACACCCCGTAAGGGGGATGCCTTGAAAAACAGTTGCAGCATAAGAATGGGTTGTCTTCCATCTGAGAGTAGGTTTCATCCGGATCTCTCGCGGAAAGTCGCGAAACAAAAGGGCGATCTGGCGAGGGGTCAGAGGGGATATTATCATAGCGGCGCAGAGGCGTATATCACTCGGCCACCCCTTTCGTTTCCGACAGGGATTAGCGTGAAACTGGCTGCCTCTCTTTCTCTCCGTCGCTCTGTTGCTCTTTCAGCTCACGATCGTGTCTAGGAGTCGAGACGCGAGTTAGCACGCGCGTATGTAGCGTTCGGCTGCGCTGAAACCGGTGGCCAGCTAGGGGCGTAAAAACGACGGACATAAATACCGGAGTTACCTGTGTTTTATGACGTGCTCGGAGGCGGCAGGAGAACGCGAGAATCCCGAGGCAAAGCTCCAACTATCGACAGCCCAGATCCTGACCGATGTCCTCGCCCGATACATTCCCTTTCTCCTCCTCTCACTTCGCCACTCTTTTACCTCATGATTCACGTTCGCTTCTCTTCTTCTTTTTCTCGTCGATTCTCGTTTTTCTTGATCTTCGATGAACCATCTGGTGGGTGTTGCCACCCATCCCTTCCTCGTAAACCAATGATCAGTTTCCATCGAGTTTTAGTGAAATTTTTGAAACGGAGCGAAAAGATCAGTGAAACTTTTTCTTTTTTACCAGAAGAGTTACGATTCCCAGATGGATAACGATTACACGGGAATAAAAGAAGAAGAAGAAGAAGAGAAAACGCGAGGGTGGCGAAACGTAAAGCCGGGGGTCGCGTTTATGGCTAATCGAAGCAACGATTGCGAGCGAGAAAAGTTTTCAGACAAGAGACGGGTACAAGCTCGTCGACATCGAGTCGAGGATTCATCGGAGCGAGCACGGTGTACGGTTAAAAAGGGCCAGGAAAAAACGTGGAGAGCGTGGAATTAGCATATGTAAAAAGAAACAGAGCGGGCAGGCACGTAGGACGAGCGGAGACCAGCGGGAAAAATAATGTTTAATCGGTAGAAAATCTCGGTGCAGTCATCCGCCATAGAACTTCGCTCTCTCTCTCCGCGCCTCTTTACCCGTTCGCCCTCTTGCGCGATCCTTTACTTGAGAGAGGGTTGGATTTTTTAATTTTTAATTGGGAAAAAAACGTCGTCGAGGCGGTCGACGAAATCCACCGGGCTGCCCGTGCATTTCACCGAGCTGCCCCCGTTGTTCCTCTTGCGATCTGTCGATTTCTTGCGACCAGACAAGCGATACTTTCATTTTTATATTCGTTATCTAGGAAATTTCATTTGAAACTTGATTGAACCACGGAATACGGAGATGGATGGTTTTTCACTCGCGATTAATTAGGAGGTAAAGGGTGATGCTTCGCGTAAGTTACGCGCGATCAAAAGCAAATTTCTGGTAACGTGAATCGCAACAGCTGTTTCAAGGTTGCAATGCGGGGATGGGTTTCAGAGGTCTATGAAAAAAAAAGCGTCGACCCTTTTCAACGTCGACGGGTCTTTACGACTTATTAAATCATTTCCAAGTCTAAAAGATTTTAAGGGAATCGTGAATTCCAGATTTTCGATAATCTTATTCAGAATTTTTAAAAGTAAGAACGTTCCACATTCAACGGACAGTCTATAATTGCCTCGACCTGTTTCTCTTGCACGGTGAATAAATAATGAGCCGAAAAAGTGGCACGCGAGGTAAGATTAACGGGAACGAGGATTGTTCTTTAGTAAGGTATAGAGAGGAGGAGCGTCGATAAAAGTGTACACGACGCCCGAGCATCGTTTCACAACCGATTCGGCCAGTCAAAACGTCAGAATCTTAAAACACGACAAACACTCTGAAATAACGATCCAAGCCACCCTCGGCTACGAGCTTCGCCGGCAAACAGGGGAGTTTTTAACGCTGCATGATCCCTGGGCAAACTTAGGGTGTACGCGAGCGTTCTCGTGTCTTCTCGCGGTGTGCAAATCCTTGTCGTCGCAAATGGGCGCGGGTCATCGCGAGCCCATAAACTTCGCCAGAGAAAACTTTTTATTCGCCAGAGAAAAAAAGAAATTCATCGATCCCTTAGAAAAATTAAATACATTTAAAGAAACGAATGGACAAACGAAGAGATATTTGAAAAATCTGTAACCGAGTACGAGTAGATTGAGAAATGATGCGGGAAGTAAGAGTGTATGAAGGGGCGCAGATTGATGCGTGCAAAGCCGCCGTTTAACACGCAACGAATTACGATTTCGGGAAGCGTAGACAGGTGGAGGGCAGCAGACCTCAAGGGGGAGGATCGTTCTTCCAGCGAGTTACACATAATGCCTCATAAACACCCTCAAAACGCTTGCCATCACCCTCGATTCGTGCCGCTACCGCCATCGCGAATCTGACACCGCACCGGCAATAAACTTTAGCCTCGTTACTACTTCCCTTTCCCCGCTTGAAATTTCTATCCCATTTTCCGTTTTCACTCTTCAAATTTTTCTCTGAAATATATTAAATTTTTGTACACGGTAGTGCGCGTATCATCCCCTCTTTTTTACATGTTTCAATTCGAAAGAAAATACAGGAAGCCCGTTATCCGTGGACTAATTAAAATCCTTCAAAGGGTAGAAGCAGCGATCCTTGTTTCAAGAGTGGTACGCGATAAAAGAGCGTCGTTCCCTCGGCGACGCTCAAGTCCCGGGGCTGAATATTTCGCTGGACGACGGCGGTAAGCCGGTTAAATGTCGTGGTTCACCGTAAAAACCCGGTCGTTTGCCGTCCAAGCCACGCCACTATGAAATAAAACTACGGAACCGCGTGCATACACGTACCCCGACCCCATTATAAGCCGTATAACTTCATGCTCGTAGCGATAGAACACGCTTAAGTTCTTCACGCTTTCTATCCTATTTCTTTCCTCTACGATATGTCGTTAAAATGTCTTGAATCGACGAGAAAGTTTAATTATTAAAAAAGCTTTATTTGAACGCGAATAAATTCTCCAACAAATAGGTAAATCTGTTTCGATCGGAACAAGGAAAAAAGAAGGAGACAATATTCTGAGAGAATTTTCTCTGTCAGGGTGTAAACATCCCTAACGCGAACCACCCTTGTCTGTTGGTCGTTTAGTAGGCGCTTCTTTCCGATGCTTTTTCGCGAGAAACGCGGCCAACTGTTCGCGAGAGCGAGCCGAATAGCAATGCCAAAGCGCAGAGGGTGCGTTCGCTGGAAACAAAACACAAATGTGCCGGAAGTAAGGGGTGAACGAGTGGCGCCGCTGCGTCGATGTTTGGCCCGAATCGGCCGGAATATGTTAATGTCGGGGAAGGGACGCTAAACGCGAACCCACCCCAACAAATATACGCGGCCGCTTGTTACGCGCGATTTCGTTCTTCCACCTTTCCACTTCGATCTATCGGGGTTGTTTCTCTCTAACTTTTGTCGAGATGTTTCCTGTCACGCTCGTATGGATCTTACACCAATATGGTTACAATTTCAGAATTTAGTTAATAGCCAAAAGTTATGGAAATAAATTAGTGAAAAAGTAAGAGTTAATAGAATAGAAGTACTTCATCCCTACGTTTTACCGCCAGGTGATAATTTCATCCCCTCCTTCCTAAACTGACCTATCCATTCTTTTCAGGAAAGAGTTTTACTCTGACGATCATGCTACAGACGTCACCGCCTCAAATAGCCACCCTGTCCAAGGCGATTAAGGTCACCGTGGATGGACCCAGAGAACCCAGGTCCAAGACAAGTAAGTTTTACAGGATTTTACCAACTGTAGGTAACTCTACCTCCAAGGATTCCGTCGTTTCAATAGATTTACATTAATTTTTTATACATCACCCTTTCATTTAAATATCTGCTTGCTTAAAATTTCACACGCTATTGTATACCGGATAAACGTTTTACGAAACTTAAACAATATAAATTTGTATCAGCTGACGAATCCTCGTTATGTTTCAGGACACCAAGCGTTTCATCCTTTTCATTTCGGACCCAGACCGTTCCCGTTCGGACACCCTCAGGATCCTCTGGGATTTAAGCTGTCCGGTAAGTGTTTCTCCGTGGGCGTAGATCTACCTGTTTCCCCGAAGTACACCTTCGTATCACTGAGAACGTCTCCGCTTCGGCGGATAACTAAGTTTGCAACCGTGTAGCTTCCGTTGGCACGATGTCGCGCGTAAGGCGAGGCTGTTCCTTTCAAGCGGGGCGCGTTGCTCTCCTCTCCGGCTGGCTTCGTGGCTAGGAAGGGTGTCAAAATTGAGCGTCGGCAGGCACCGAGTCAAAATTGAGTTTTGCCAGCGGGCGTCTAAGTGGAGAGGACTCTGATTAAGCCCCGGCAACCGGCTCTCTCTGCCTTTTCGTTTCTCGACACCTCGCGCTCGCTCTTCGCCAAAACTTTGCGACCTGTTCTCCTCTGTCGTTTGACGAGTAACTTCCTGTACCGAGGCTGCTTCGTGAAATTCTTGTTCCTTCTTGAAAAGTAACGCGAGCTGCTTCGTGCTGATGCAAGCGCGTTCACCTTCTTCGAGATACGTGGCAAAGATTCTTTTGGCATTTCAATTCGATGAAATGTTCGGAGGATTGGATAGAAAAAAAAAACTCAACCATCTCGAGCATGAGAACTAAACCCTCTGTTTTCATTAAATAACTGGCGAAAAACCGAGCAATTTCCGCAGTGTTTTCCGTTGGTGGCGCATCGACGGGCAAGTTTGGGGGCGCGGATTTCAATTCGAATTCGTTCGAAGCTCGAAATTTTGATGGGACTAACCCCCCGCTGAGCGGCGAGGGTCGGCTACTGATACTGGTGCACCGACAGTGTATTGTTTCGGCATGATAAGCGGCTTAACGGAGCTTCACTCTCTGCTACCACCCCCCCCCCCCCCCTTTCTCACCCCCTCAGGGAATGGTATGCAGTCCTGCCGTCGATTTCTCGTCCCCCTTCCATCCACCACCACCATCACCACCGCTACCACCCCCGTGGGCTCTACTCAATCAAGGACCAACGGTGCCGCGCCCGCTTCTCTCTCGACTTCTCTTTTCTTTCCTTCAGATTTCCATCGTAATTTCAGCTAACGAGGACCGACGCAACAATTTCCAGACCCGGCTTGCATAAAATTGTTCCACGGCAATCGGGGTGCGGAAGTGTCGCAGCCCCGTGTCGTAACGCGGCTGTGCAGCTCGGCTAAATTCAATTACCGTGGAACGCGAGTTTTCTGTCTCTCTTATTCTCCAACCGATGAAACTTCGACACGTTGAATATTTTGCGGAGAAACTGTGCACCGGTGAAGAAACGAGTTCTTTGTTCCTTCGATAGTTTAGACAAAAAAAAAAAAATAAAATTTCCTTCAAAAAATGATGAATATTAAGGGTGTAATCCCTGAGAAAAAGAGACGACCATATATTTTGTAGAATTTTAAATCGTAACTAGGTCGCGTGTACTTAGTTCGCGACCAACATCCCCCGCATATCGATCGGTTTATTCGCGACTGTGTCCATCACTTTTTCAACCCTTTCGCTGGTAGTTCGAGGAGCAGCGCACAGGTTGCGCCTCTGTCCAGTTCGTCGGTTGCCGAGGGGTCAGTTGGCCAGCTTCCGAACTTTAGCCACGACGTGGGGGTGGTGTATCGTCGCTCGGATAAAGATGCGTTTCGAGAGCTGGTTTATTAGATATCTACGCCGAGGGGTTGATAAGAAAAGAGAGAACGGTGTGAGACGGTTGGCTACCCGAACAGGGGTTGTTAAGGTGCCCATTGAGGTGTAACTAGGGGGATGTTATTAAATTTCGTTCGGGTCTAGCTCGAGGGGAGGCTTGAATTTTATGGTCTCCCCGAGGACGAGAAGGTTCCAACTACGCTACATTCCTTGTCTGTCTTTCTTCTATTTAAAGACACTTTGGTCAGCAGCTTTCTAATTGGCTTGGTTATCCATTCCGATCGTTATCTCTTTTTTGGTCGAAGACAGAAATAGCAGGGGGTCGATTAAGTGGCGTTCTTCCGAGAACGACGGTCATTTTATTCTCATCGTCGTTAATACGCTCTGTCCGTTAAAACATTTCCACGATTCAATTTACGCGTATTAGAATGAAGAGCCGTTGAAAAGAAAAGAGGAGAGAGTGACGTCTCGAAGCAAGAAGAAAATTAATGTGTTCGGTGACTGGCAACACGCGAAAGATCCTCGCTGAGATTGTCCAAGAAAGAAAACACCCTGATCGCGTGCCTCCCGAGAGGCCTCGGGAACCGTCTTTGTCAGTCTAGCTAAGGGGATGAAAAATCGCGAGACTCTGGATTCGAGTTAACAAGAACAGCTCGCACAGCTAGCCCACTTTACCTCCCAACCCCCTTTGTTCACCCTCCAGTGTCAATTAACCGCGTAGCAGGGGTTGGGCTGGCACCGGAAAAATCGCAACCCCTGTTTCAATAAGGTGGCCTTTACCTCATTTGGGGGAGATTGTTAGGAACGTTCAGTTTAAAACTGTCGCGTTCCGTTCTGCCGATCGTTTTACAATAAATTCGGTAGCTTTCTTTAAAGAGGATCTACTAAGAAAATTTTACGTTTGAAATTTGTCTGATTGACTTTCACCGGAGAACGAAGGAAAAGCTTTTACTAATTACAGACAGAGGAATTTCGATAAGAAAAGGCATTGAATCGGGAAGTGTCGGTTTTCAGGGATTCGGTTCCTGGGAATTTTCTTTAAAAGGTCCTTTCACGTACATGGAAAACCAAGTAACCCTTGACGAGTGCGGTGCCGGATCCTTAAAGGTTCCCTTTTTAAGGGTTGTCCCTGTCCACCCCTGCGTCAAATCACGGCGGATCCTTTAAATTCGCGTCACATTTCACCCTCCTGCGTGTCTTGCAAGGGTGTCCCGTCTTTTAATCAGGCCCGGTGACCAGGACCTTTCGACGTAGGCGACGGTAACTAATGATACCTTTCGTCGTTCTTCGTCCCCTTACTCGTATCGTCTTCTCTCGCGCGACACGAGAATCCTTAAATTTTGACGAATTGATTTTTAATTTCCTTTCATTTCTAAAGATTAAAACTGTATCATTTTTGAAATAGCTGCGTCTATTCAATTTCCATTTCCGGCGTATGCGACAGCATTAAAGGTATGAGAAAAGAAGAAGTACGTGAAAGACATGACCGAAGACGAAAGAGAAGCAGCGTACAATGAACGTTTCGAAAGTTGGTCGTTTTTATCAGCGCGCGTTCGTAACTTCAAAGAGGATGCAAGCGTAAATATAAGAGAAGGAGAAAACAGGTCGGTGGTAGGAGTAAGAAACAGGGGTGGGTGATCCGAGGAGAAGGGATGAAAGGTGGTGGCGCGAAGAGGTGGCGAGAGAGACAGCAATTTTCTCGTCCTTTCTCGAAATATCTCCTCGCAGAGCTTAGATCGGTACCAGGGACCTTTCCAGGGTGGCATTTTAGGGGTTGCTGCGACGCGATAATGAGAACGGGCGCAAAGGGTGGGTGTGCAAAGACATCCGACCGACGGTACCGAGAGGCTAGGACGTGAGAAAGGAGGATGAGGGTTGGTGTGGAGGTTGCAGGGGTTAGAGAAGAAGCTGAAAAGAGGGGAGGGTGTGCAAGCTCCGCAAGGGTTAATGCCTTAGCAGTAAGAAGGGCGTTTTAACTCCTGTTTTGCATAGATTTGAATAGATAAGGAGGACAGGAAAATACGCGAATTAATTTATTATGTATCTCTGGCTGGGCTGTTGGCCTTCTTCATGGCGGCGGAATTTTAAGCGAGCAACCTGAACGAACCGGCTTTACTCTTTACTTTTCGGCCCCGGACGTCAGCCTTTAGCCCAACGTCTTTAAACAACCCTTAAGTTTCTCTACCGTCGGCTCTTCGCTCTTTTTGTCTATCTTTCGGCAGTGACAAGCGTAACTCTTTTCCCTATCGTGCAACTCGAAAAACGCGTCACGTATATTTTTCTATGTCACTTGATATAAATGCTTTTGTCGTAGATTTCGTGGAAAGGCACTCGCTTCTTCTATACAAAAGATTTTGCAAAATTTAATATGGCAAATGCATATTTGCTTGGAACAGATTATTTATATGGCAACAAAACAATCGTAGTGCTCAGAATGGATTATATTACAAAAAATTCGCGTCAGGGTCGAATGTTGTAGCGTTAAGATTAATTTTTCCCCGATGTCTGACATATCATTGACTTGTACTACTTATTTTGGTTTCACCGAAGGGAATCGCTGCTTTTCTCTATCTTTTCTTCTGTTGATTATTGATTAAGGTATAGTGGCGTAAGAATTTAATCAACTATGAAGGTATATCATCGAGTTTCATCATTGAACGTGACAAATATCGAGAGGAAGCGTGAAGTTAAAGTTAAGGGAAATGTGGCGCGTGGTTGAAACAGCTAGAGCGGATTTTGAACATGCTGCTCGATAATACATCATCCCTTAAAGCTTCGGTACCCCAGTAGAAGGTACACATAAAGGCAACTAACCCTAGGGCCGTAACGTTTAAGCTTAACATTTCTCACCCCTTAAAGGGTAGCGGCTCCTTGAACCCTTTCAGGCACTACGCCTGCCTCCTTCCGTCTCTTTCTCTCCCGACTCTTTCACAGATCTCGCCAGGCTTCTCCCCTCATTAGTCTTCATTTGTTTTCCGAATTATCGCCCGCCACCCTCCCCCATCCTGGCACGCGAGCACCGTTTCGAAGAGGGTGCCAGGCGTTTTGGGGGTTTATTAAATTGAAAGTATGTTACGAGCCGTTTGAAATAGATACGCGCCGGTGTCAAATACCGAAACTTCTGAATTCGGGAACCCCCTGTCTTATTAACGATCAGCTGCTCTACCAAGTCTTTGTCTGAGCTCGAATTAAATACGAATGCATAGTGTACCCTTCGAAAGAAATATCAAGCGAGGATTTTTCTGAGGAAACGCATCACTTATGTTGCAACTGGTAGAGGGAAACCCTTGGCCTCCTTAAGCTCGCAGGCAGCGTAGCTTTCGCCTCTTATCGTTTTCTTAATCCTCTCATAAAATAGCTGCAGCTACAAGCTCTCTCTTTCTCTCTCTCTCTCTCTCTGTCTCTTTTTCTCTCTACCCTTGCGAGTTTCCAGCTGGACTGCTCGCTGTTCCACGACGATGTGGTAGAACGCGAGATAGTGGTGTCCTCTCTGGCAAGCTCGGCTTAAAGAGAGCTTAAAAATCACCCCTTCGACCCCTACCGAGCTTTTTACATCCCTACCATCGGCTGTCTGATGGTTGGCGGGGATAGGCGACGGTCCAATCGTAGCGTTCGCAAGCACGATACACCACGCCCACGTTCCAGTGACCAGACAACCCTCCCCACCATTTCGAAAGCTTCCCCTATTTGCCACTCCGACGCGATCCCCACCCCTCGAAGTCGGTGGCTTCGGAGCTTTCACGGAATTTTTAAACTGCCCTGCACAGATGACGGTATAATCTGCTATTGATCAAGGTGTTTCGAAAAACCGATACTATACCGTTGACTACGGGCTTCGTTTCACCCCTTTCCACCCTACGTACCTTCGTACGACCAACTTTAATTCCTTTCCCCGCGGTTTAGTCATTTCTTTGCTCGATTATTTTCTTCGTAGAATTTCGATGAAATTTTTCAACGATCAGAGGGGTAATCGCGTTAGAATAAATTAATTTCTTCGATGTGGTGAATTTAATTGCATAGCTGCACGTAACGTTTATACGCAAACGTTCTCCATGGTCGTGTGATATTGGCTACCATTGGAAAAAAAAAAAAAAAAGAAGAAGGAAATCGATCGTTCCTCTATTCTCTATTGGATAAATTTAACTGTCCATCCACGTCAAACGCTCGCTACGTCAAAGGGAAACGTTTCTGTAGCTCTATCTGTCATCGGGTGATCGCTTATCCGTCCGACATACAACATTTCCAGATCTTCCGAGGACGTTTCTATTTTCTCTTCGTACCAAGTTGTTTGGTCATTTATTACGATCGCTTTCAGGCATCAATCGAGGTTCGAACTTGACATTTTTGACAGATTTTATTTAGTACCCTTTGATTCCTTCCAGTTTTATTGAATTTTATTAAATTTGACCAGCCAACAGGTACAGCGGAATATCCTAGTAACCAAGATACCGGACAAGAAGCCGAAATACTGAGAGACATAATTTCAAAGATCGTTTCGATTGCACAGGCTTGCAACACCTGAGTCTGGAGCAAGGAGCAAGTCAAGGGTGGGGTGGATTACCCCGAGGTTCTCTGCCACCCCACTGTCTTCCACCACCTCCTGGTCACCACTCGCATACACATCCTCCAACAGCTGGTGCGTCGGCCTTCAATCCCTTCCACCACAGCATCGAGCAAAGATCTCCTAGACTACCTGCACCTAACACCGGTAAGAACTCGAAGACTTTTCTCTGACACTGTTACGAGATGACATCCTTCGCGTCAAGTCCTGTTTAATTTTGCGAAATCGATCGAAAGGATGTCAGAATCGAACGACAGTGTCGAAGGATCGTTAGGTCGTTGGGTGATGGGTTCGAGCTCACCGATTAATGGGTTTCTTAAAGAGTCGTCCAGGAACGATTTGGTTCCAATCAGCGTTTCCGTCAGAGTGGTGACACCGACATCGTCACCTGGCAATCCCGGACCCGGCCTGCTCACGACGGCCACCGTCGCGGCACCCACACCACCTGCCGAACCTACCACGACCACCACCACGCCCAGCCCTTCTGGACATCATTCTCATTTTCAAGGTACTGGCTTTGATAAAATAATCAGTACGTTGACTCTCGAATAGCGGATCGGAATCTTAGTAATCGAGTTGACGATCGTTCTAACGACAGGTCTTCATCTTCTGGGAGCCACAGGGTCAATCTTCGGATCGATATTCGCCCCGTTGCTGCCACAATCGTCTTGGCTCTACAATCCTCTCTATCACACGCAGCAATACGCTTTGGAGCCCGAATGGCACGCTCTGGCGTTGAGACTAGCCCAGCAACGATTGCAGAGGCCCGACCAAGCCAGACTGGAAGAAACCAGGAAGCTTAGGAGTCACAGCAACAGCCCGGAAATCGACTTGAAAGAAGAGAAACAGCGAGACGACGAGCAAGATCCGTTCCCTAGATCCGGTCTCGACAGCCCTGACGGAAGTATAGAGGTTGACGACAGGAACGAACACGATCCAAACAGAGATCGCGCGAGAAGCGACGAGTCCCTTCCGGAACAAGATTCTCCGAGGATATCTCCGGTTAGAAGCGACCTCGAAGACGTCACCACGGACGTGACGTTTCAAGATGCTTCGGTTCACCTGAGGCCCAGCATGGAGAATTCGAACGATCAGGAAACGTTCAGCGACGAGCAGATTTCGCGACGAGATCTGGCGGTTAAAATCCGATTGGAGGGTACCGTGGATCTAAGCACGAAGAGGGGACAGGATAAAGAAAACATGGGACAGGATTTGACAACGAGGAAGAAGGAAGAAGACAGCGAGGTCGAGAGGGATGGGGTCAGAGCGAGAAGAGAGACGAGCCCTAAGCCCAGACAGGTCTGGAGACCGTACTAAAGGACGAAATTAGTCGGCTCAAAGGATTTCTGAACGCAGCGATATCTTCGAAGATATCTGCTTGTAAATTTGCCCGAATCTCGATCAGTTTACGTTAGATATTGTATCGGGTCCCCGGAGATTATCGAATTTCTCGACTCGTTTCGACTGAATGTACTAGTCAGGAGTCAATCGTGAGAGATACTTGGTCCTTCGATCAAGGACTCGAGGACTAACCAGGGTTTACGTTCGTATAGCTTGTAAATATAAGCGGCGTCCAATTATCACTTTAGGTTTAATGTCTCGCGTACGTGTTAAACGCTATCCATTGTCACTTGGAGTGAGATTAAGCGATTTTTCTCAACGATCCTCATCGTACCGACGTGATTCCGACGAGAATGACAAAGTCTGAGGGGTAAGAGAAATTGCGCGATGCGAATCGTTCGAAGAAAAAGAGCTACTGTCGTTGTAAATATCGCAGAATTAAGGATACAAAGTACCAGCTAAGTCACGTTCTTGCGAGTCTACTCCTTTTTTCTTTTTCTGCTGTTTTTACAAGGAATATTAACCGACGATCGGCAGCAAATGTAACAGGGAGTAGATCGAGCGTAATAACTTAGGCCTGTTGACGTTCTGTGTTAAACGTGACTGGCTTGGAAAAAGAAATATCTTTCACTGTTTAAGTACCGTCATCAAATAAAGTAATATCATCCGTTCCATGAATGATCTTTTTACGCAGCGTGTCTTCAACGATCCTTGAAGAACGTGCGGCTGATCTTCGACCAGTAAGTACAAATTCATTGGTAACGTTGCATATTTAATTCAAATAAATGATCCGGAAAATGTTGGGTCGTCGAGGTATTCAGAAAATTTTAATGCAAAATTTTCAACGCGATTTCAAAATGATTGACCGATAGGTTTCGGTGTCCGCGATAGAGAAAGGGATAGAAATGTTTGAGCGCGATTCGGAAAATGCAAAATCGTCCCAGAGAAGTCGCGAACTAACCCAACCTAATCCGGACAGACGAGATGCAGCAGATTCAATAATTCGCCGCGATTGCAATCGAGCGGGATGCACCGCACGCAAAAACGGCCAGGCCCGATATCCGGTCGGTGAAAAGGTCCGCGTGATTGATGGGATACACAAAGCATCTCTCTTCCCACTGTTCCCTCGAAAAGCGATCGGTTGTGTTGCTATCAGCATACCAGCCGTCACGTCTCTGAAATCGAGATAAAAAGACCGCAAAACAATTTTCTACATTATTTTCCGATGCGCCGCCCGATCAAATGAGCAATAATGCCCGGTACACCGCATCTCCATGAATCTTTCAAACGATGCATTCACCCGTGGCCCTCACCCTTCTTTTAACTCCCTCCCCCGTGTGCACGAACGCGTTCATCGATGAAAACGTGTCCCGTCAACGCTGCTAATTACGACACTGGTAAATATACGCGCTTGTTCTGCGGCGTGAAAAAAAAAAAAAAAAAAACCAGTTCGTTCGTATGGAGTGAAATCCGATCGGTGAAAGTAAAAGTAGATTAATGTTTCGAGTTTTATTCTCGAGAAATTGGGACGATGATTATTGGGAAATTTTGCTAGGTAAATTAATTTGATCTCAACGATAAATAGAGAAAAATCTTAACCTGAAAAAAGAACTCACCGAATGATCGAGCGACAGATACAAAAATCTACACCGAAAATACAATTCATCACCCTTAAAGACGAGAATCAGTATTCTCTCCACCCTTCTGAAAAAAGGGAACGAGAGAACGGTAGAAACGTGTTCCAGCGATCACTGCGGTCCTTTTTTCGGCAAAACCCGTACACGTCCATGCTGGTCGGGTTATCGCAACAAACTACCCCAATGACGACACGATTAAAATTTCACGGGGGTTGCGTGGCTCGGGCGTGTTCTCTCTCGGAACAAACCGTCTCTCTGTATGATCCCTCTCTCCACCGTGACTGCTCCCGTCCATCGAGCCACCCCAGACCACCTTTTGACCCCCCTCTCGTTCACGAAGAGCCACCTCCTACCCCCCTCATCCCCGTCGGGTGATTGGTACGCGACCGCAGCCACCCCCGCTTTTTAATACACCCGCGCCTGCATACTCTACACCCGTAACCGGTGAGCTGCTCCTCTATACAGGGTGTTCCACGTAACTGGAACAAGCTATCTTTTGCTTCATAATTAGTAACGCTTAAAAATTAAAATCATTTTTGATCAAACTGTGGAACTGCATCAAAAGAAAAAGATGCAGTCGCACTCTTGAGAAGTAGAACTTGACCCCGTTTGATTTTGTCTTATGATTTTCTTATTCTTTTTAAAATTTAAACGTCTAATTTTAATCGAAGGTTCATTGTACGAGCTTCAGAGGTCTGGGTCAAAATTGACTCGGGCATCACCGTTTGAATGTTAAAGATATCTTTTGCCCCGGTTGCGTGGTACACCCTGTATGCCAGAGGGTGCATCGAATCCCTCCCTTCGATCCCCTGATCCAACCTCTCTGTTCTCTATCATCCTCTTCCCGCTTCGTCACAAAACTTTCTCCCTCCCTTTCCGATGCACTGTTTGGCCTGGTCCTGGTCTCGTTCCACGTCAACGTCAACGGTGCACGCCGAGTGATTCATCGATCGAACACGTATTCGTGTCCCCGGCTCGTTCATCCCCCCAAAATAGCGACAAAGACTGGCCAGCTCTCCTGTAGCGGTGGTGCAGGTCGTATGAAGCCATGGACGAAACCGCCGCCACGGCGTCGGGCACAGAAGCCAGAGAGACGGAAAATGCATTTCCACCAGGGGGATGATTGGGGCCGTTCTTTCAATCGCGTGCGGCCGCATGCGGCTCCCGCTCTCTTTTTCACCGAATCGCGAATGGAATCGTTTCCCGGGGGTGGTTTTCGGCCTTCGCGATGCAAGGATTCATTTTCGCCACTGCACGCGACTTGCCCATATTCTCTAAACCGTGTCGCATAAAGATACCGATCCGATTGAGAGTAAAATTCGCAGGGGGGGACGAGGATCTCTGCCCTCCGTTGATCGATCGATAAATTGATTTCGTTTGGGTAGAGTAGTTTTATGTATCTTGATTTTTGAATGGGACAAAATTGCAGGTGATTGCGCGAAAATAGAGAATCGCAGGGAATCGATAGTACTTGATTAGGGGGGTTAACCCTTTCGTTGCGGCGTCCATTGTGCGATAGTTGCACCTATATTCATCAGTGGAATTTGATGAATATTCGTTTCTTCCTAATCCCGATGCTTTCAGGATAAATTTCTGCCGCACTATTGTCAAAGAAATTTTGCAGTAAAAGGGTTAAATAAAAATAAAAATGAAAAAGAAGGATCGAAGGTGGACGTTGAAAGCTGGGAAGGGAAAATAACTCTGGCGTGAATAAATGATAGGAGTCAAAAAAAAAAAAAAAAAGTTTGCCAGCATCTCCAGTCAGCTAGTCCGTGAGGAGAAGCTTCGAGGTATCCTTTAATACTTTTTGTCCTTGCAACCGGCCACCACCCCCTACCGAACCGTCCGCCTTGCCCTGCCAGAAGGGTGTATGTTCTTTTTATTTTTTTTTTCTTCTCTCTGCCAGCCTCTCGCAGTCGAGCACTTTAGATAATAAGGCCAGGACGCTCGGCACGGACGAAAGGGTAAATTGGGTATTCGTCCGAGGAATTATCTCTCTAATTTCTTTAACGTACCAGTCTCTCACCTTCCTCTTATGTACGCGTGTAATTTCCATCGTCGCGGATCGGAAGCTTGCACGAAACCCCATCAGGACTCTTGCGGGATGAAAGGGTTCATCTATCTGATGGAAGAGATCAGAAGAAGCTCGAGCACGTGTGAAATAATTTCTCGATTCTTCTTTCCTTCTTCGGCACACTTTAATTGGCTTCGGCTGTCTCGCGAATGTTGTAGCCTTAATCCTCGTCATCGGGAAAGGGTTAATTGTATGAAAAGCTCTCTGTGAATGTTTTTTGGTTTAAAAATTTCAAGTTGCATCGAATATGCTTGATAGAAATTTGAAGTCAAGTTTCCTTCGAAGGATTAATGGAATATCCGTGAGGAAAGGTATCACGGAAACGTGACACGTTGGGGGTTGATGCTAATAATAATAAACGATCGCCGATATAGAGGGTGGGATGGGGGATGTAATTCGTACAAATGATAGTTCACGGGTATCGGGCGGTAGAGGGTAGAGAGAAGGTCGTATACATCGTAATGGCCCTGAAATTAGATCCCACCCTTGGCGCGGGTCCGAGTTCGACAAATTCGGTTAGGTCGATGAAAAATGAATCGCTGTTACCGCCGGCCTTTCTCCTCCATCGGCTTGGTCGGTTTGCATCTTCGATTTTTATCGGCGGACGCCGTCCGGGGCTTTAATTTATCGACATATAATTTATCGGGGGTGGCGGGATCTGGTGTTTCTCGAGGAAAAAGACAAAACTTTGCTGCGTCGTTACCATCGGCTACAATTAACATCTGATTTATTGAAAGCCTTTATCGTATCTTTCATTAACGTTTCTCCTGGAAGAATTTCTTCCTCGCGGATTAATCTATACGCAGGAATAACTATAAGAGAGAGGGTTTGTTTCACGCATAGCCCGGAGCGTTCGTTATATTATGTTTGCCGCTGGTGTTTACAACTGCTCGTAGCCCGGATGACAATCTCGGATGAAGGGTGGCTCGACGATAAGACAGACGCGTATTTGTTTCCAGGTCGACTGTTGGAAACGTTTGACGGAACAAAGTATCGGATAACGCGTGCCAACCTTCTCTCGAAACATTCTATAATTTCGACTAATTTCACCCTCGTATGCTGACAAAATGAAAAAGAATCATTTTTCTGAATCGTCGAGAAGCATGCCTGAATGGAATCGAACCTCGAAGACGCAATCGATGAACACGGAGTAGAAGAAGAAGAAGGGAAGAAGAGGAAGGCACAAAACACAGCGGCGAACTTTGCCAAAGACAATATAAAAGTCGGGAGGGTTGCGTAGGATTGGAAGTCGTAAATATCATCTGCTAAATAAAGCTTCATCCTCGAGTAGGATTCAAGCGGCGGTGAAAACCCCTTTGCAGCGGAGGGGCGCAGGAGGAGCGGGTGAGAGTGAATCGGAGACAAAGGCTCGTAACGTTCGCTGACATTAAGGTATTGAAAGAAAGGGAGAAGGGTGCTGTAAACGGTGTCTCTGTTCACCCTTGCGTCGCCCTTCCGCAAACGATCAACGTTTCTGATCATCCTGACGACGCGACGCGACGCGACGAATCCTCTTTGACATCTTAACTCCGACGCAATTTTGAAAAGTTGCAAAAAAAAATGTCGAACGATTGAAATTCCCCAGAGGCAAATAATTGTTACCGGGCGATAAAAATTTCTCCGTGCAACATTTTCCGGATCCGGTGACGTTCTGGCGAACACCAGGTCAAAAGTTTAGGGTCCCATCATGCCTGAAGTGTTTTCAGGGCTCGGTTCAGGATGTAGGTGGCACGACAAAGCAGAGATGAAAGAGCGTTCAGCCCCTTTCCGTTGGCATTCAAATGTGGCCTTTCTGACCATGCAACCCCATATCTCCCGCATCCTTTCCCCCAGAAAGCGGCGGCAAGCCGTTCGAGCGGCTACGAGCGACCAAGACACAAGCCCATCCAGTATACCAAACAAATGACGCTTGAAACAAACGAAAGACGACGGCGTTTGTCTTTTGTCCGTGCTGGCACGCA